CACATGAGAGATAAGATAAAGCTGCATTGTATGACGGCTGTTTCATTACCGAACAAATGTGGGACTTACTTCTGCCAACACAAGAACATTAGTGAGTAAGTTATGTTAATTTATGTAGTGCATTTTTACAGACCAAGATCACCCAAAACAATGTTCAGAAATCAGATATTTTTCCATTCCCTCCACACAGTGATGACCAGAACACACCGGCCCATCAAAGCCTCCGACCAAACACCATCCATTCACTCACTGAGGAAACCTTGACAGACACGGGGAGAACATGTAAACTCCACTGTTCCGACTGGGATTTGAACCCAGGACCTTCGTACCTACATACCATAGGCCTGTGCCGAAAACAAGAAAAATGAAGAATAACTCTATATTAAATGAAATAAAATATCTAAAACTCTAGCAGGAAGAAGAAACAGGTTTGAAATCTCTATCTTTAGCCTAATTAGCAATTAACAAATAATCACATACAGTAAAAGCACTCAATATTTTAAAGTTAAAATATCCTCAAAAGCAAACAGACAAAGTGACATTCCGCACTTTAAAAAGGCTTCATAAATATGTTTTCTTCTGCGCTGCATAATGACATAAATTCTCCATTAGGTGTTCTTCTGGCATAAGATGGCGACCCGTTTCCACCGTTTCCACACACGCCGCACAATAACATCTGAATTCTGTTTGCTGTCTAATAGGAAAGAAAGACAGAAGCGTTTGTTGGCGCCGAGATCATTTTCTCAAAGGGAACATTGGTCTGTGGGAACAACGGAATGTGTGTTTTACAAAGAGACAAATCTATTCAATAAAGTCCAGGCAGTGTGTTTAGACCTGTAGTTTAGACCTGTAGTTTAGTCCTGTAGTTTAGTCCTGTAGTTTAGTCCTGTAGTTTAGTCCTGTAGTTTAGACCTGTAGTTTAGACCTGTAGTTTAGACCTGTAGTTTAGACCTGTCGTTTAGACCTGTAGTTTAGTCCTGTAGTTTAGACCGGTAGTTTAGACCTGTAGTTTAGTCCTGTAGTTTAGACCTGTAGTTTAGACCTGTAGTTTAGACCTGTAGTTTAGACCTGTAGTTTAGTCCTGTAGTTTAGACCGGTAGTTTAGACCTGTAGTTTAGTCCTGTAGTTTAGACCTGTAGTTTAGACCTGTAGTTTAGACCTGTAGTTTAGACCTGTAGTTTAGTCCTGTAGTTTAGACCGGTAGTTTAGTCCTGTAGTTTAGACCTGTAGTTTAGTCCTGTAGTTTAGACCTGTAGTTTAGTCCTGTAGTTTAGACCTGTAGTTTAGACCTGTAGTTTAGACCTGTAGTTTAGTCCTGTAGTTTAGACCGGTAGTTTAGTCCTGTAGTTTAGACCTGTAGTTTAGTCCTGTAGTTTAGACCTGTAGTTTAGTCCTGTAGTTTAGACCTGTAGTTTAGACCTGTAGTTTAGACCTGTAGTTTAGTCCTGTAGTTTAGACCTGTAGTTTAGACCTGTAGTTTATACCTGTAGTTTAGTCCTGTAGTTTAGACCTGTAGTTTAGTCCTGTAGTTTAGACCTGTAGTTTAGACCTGTAGTTTAGACCTGTAGTTTAGACCTGTAGTTTAGTCCTGTAGCTTAGTCCTGTAGTTTAGACCTGTAGTTTAGACCTGTAGTTTAGACCTGTAGTTTATTCCTGTGTTTTAGACCTGTAGTTTAGTCCTGTAGTTTAGTCCTGTAGTTTAGTCCTGTAGTTTAGTCCTGTAGTTTAGACCTGTAGTTTAGACCTGTAGTTTAGTCCTGTAGTTTAGTCCTGTAGTTTAGACCTGTAGTTTAGACCTTTAGTTTAGACCTGTAGTTTTTTCCTGTGTTTTAGACCTGTAGTTTAGTCCTGTAGTTTAGTCCTGTAGTTTAGTCCTGTAGTTTAGACCTGTAGTTTAGACCTGTAGTTTAGTCCTGTAGTTTAGTCCTGTAGTTTAGACCTGTAGTTTAGACTTGTAGTTTAGACCTGTAGTTTATTCCTGTGTTTTAGACCTGTAGTTTAGTCCTGTAGTTTAGTCCTGTAGTTTAGTCCTGTAGTTTAGACCTGTAGTTTAGACCTGTAGTTTATTCCTGTGTTTTAGACCTGTAGTTTAGACCTGTAGTTTATTCCTGTGTTTTAGACCTGTAGTTTAGACCTGTAGTTTAGTCCTGTAGTTTATTCCTGTGTTTTAGTCCTGTAGTTTAGACCTGTAGTTTAGACCTGTAGTTTAGACCTGTAGTTTAGTCCTGTAGTTTATTCCTGTGTTTTAGTCCTGTAGTTTAGACCTGTAGTTTAGACCTGTAGTTTAGTCCTGTAGTTTAGTCCTGTAGTTTAGACCTGTAGTTTAGACCTGTAGTTTATTCCTGTGTTTTAGACCTGTAGTTTAGTCCTGTAGTTTAGTCCTGTAGTTTAGACCTGTTGTTTAGACCTGTAGTTTAGTCCTGTAGTTTAGACCTGTAGTTTAGACCTGTAGTTTAGTCCTGTAGTTTAGACCTGTAGTTTAGACCTGTAGTTTAGTCCTGTAGTTTAGTCCTGTAGTTTAGACCTGTAGTTTAGACCTGTAGTTTAGTCCTGTAGTTTAGTCATGTAGTTTAGACCTGTAGTTTAGACCTGTAGTTTATTCCTGTGTTTTAGACCTGTAGTTTAGTCCTGTAGTTTAGTCCTGTAGTTTAGACCTGTTGTTTAGACCTGTAGTTTAGTCCTGTAGTTTAGACCTGTAGTTTAGACCTTTAGTTTAGTCCTGTAGTTTAGACCTGTAGTTTAGACCTGTAGTTTAGTCCTGTAGTTTAGTCCTGTAGTTTAGACCTGTAGTTTAGACCTGTAGTTTAGTCCTGTAGTTTAGTCATGTAGTTTAGACCTGTAGTTTAGACCTGTAGTTTAGTCCTGTAGTTTAGACCTGTAGTTTAGTCCTGTAGTTTAGTCCTGTAGTTTAGTCCTGTAGTTTAGACCTGTAGTTTAGACCTGTAGTTTAGTCCTGTAGTTTAGTCCTGTAGTTTAGACCTGTAGTTTAGACCTGTAGTTTAGTCCTGTAGTTTAGTCCTGTAGTTTAGACCTGTAGTTTAGTCCTGTAGTTTAGTCCTGTAGTTTAGACCTGTAGTTTAGTCCTGTAGTTTAGTCCTGTAGTTTAGTCCTGTAGTTTAGTCCTGTAGTTTAGACCTGTAGTTTAGTCCTGTAGTTTAGTCCTGTAGTTTAGACCTGGATTAGGCAAGTTTATATGTATGGCACAGTTTATACACATGGAAACTCTGGTCAGGGCTCTCTTGAAAAAGCATTTTTTTAATCTCAATGGGATTTTTCCTTGATAATTAAAGTTTAAATAAAAATACAAAAGTCCATAACAAAACAGGATAGAAACGGTCACACATTAGAATCAAAAATAATAACATTTTTCCGAGAACCTCTGAATTAAATATTAAATAGCTGCATAAATCTGAATTGCTGTATCTCCATCTTTAGTCTGGACCAGCAGGAGGCCAGTCCCTGTGCTCCTCAGAGTCCCAGCAGGAGGCCAGTCCCTGTCCTCCTCAGAGTCCCAGCAGGAGGCCAGTCCCTGTGCTCCTCAGAGTCCCAGCAGGAGGCCAGTCCCTGTGCTCCTCAGAGTCCCAGCAGGAGGCCAGTCCCTGTGCTCCTCAGAGTCCCAGCAGGAGGCCAGTCCCTGTGCTCCTCAGAGTCCCAGCAGGAGGCCAGTCCCTGTGCTCCTCAGAGTCCCAGCAGGAGGCCAGTCCCTGTGCTCCTCAGAGTCCCAGCAGGAGGCCAGTCCCTGTGCTAACATGTCACAGATGTACTTTGGTACCAGGCCATGGAGAGACTTGTAATAAACAGTTGTATCTTTCTTCTTCTTCCTCTACATTATTCTCGCAGAATGAAACGACTCTGGTTTGTTCAGATTTGTCGTCGACACCGATCAAATGAGACAAAACATTAACATTAACATTTGACAATCCCCGACTCTGTGTTGCAGCCTGTCTCTTTCACACTTCTTATGCTCTTGACACGTTGGAAGTGAAATCTTATGGTATATTTTTCCCTTCTCTCTTTTCTGAAGCTACTCCTGTTCATCCGCAATCTTTAAAACAATACAGCAATACACTTCTCAATTTGACAGACTTCAAGTGTAGAGCAGAGGAAATGCACGTCACACATATAATCTTCGAAGCGCAATTCCACCAAACTCTAAGGGTTGTATATGAAATGTTAATTTATGTAGTGCATTTTTACAGACCAAGATCACCCAAAACAATGTTCAGAAATCAGATATTTTTCCATTCCCTCCACACAGTGATGACCAGAACACACCAGCCCATCAAAGCCTCCGACCAAACACCATCCATTCACTCACTGAGGAAACCTTGACAGACACGGGGAGAACATGTAAACTCCACTGTTCCGACTGGGATTTGAACCCAGGACCTTCGTACCTACATACCATAGGCCTGTGCCGAAAACAAGATAAATGAAGAATAACTCTATATTAAATGAAATAAAATATCTAAAACTCTAGCAGGAAGAAGAAACAGGTTTGAAATCTCTATCTTTTGCCTAATTAGCAATTAACAAATAATCACATACAGTAAAAGCACTCAATATTTGAAAGTTAAAATATCCTCAAAAGCAAACAGACAAAGTGACATTCCGCACTTTAAAAAGGCTTCATAAATATGTTTAAGGGTTGTATATGAAAGTCTCGGGGGCCACTGTCCTGTCCACAAAATGAACTGGATTTACATATTGTGAATTTAGCCAATGGCCCGGGGAGATAGAAGAGCGGCCTTGTCATAAATGTTTAATGTCAGAACCACACAAGACTTGACGTGACGTTCAGGTCTTGTGTGACTTTTTTTTAGTTTGGTGGAAGTTGACACAGTTCCGCCAATAGACGTTTTCATCCTGAATATTTAACTTGATTTATTTTTGTATAACATTTGCCAAAAACATGAGGACCTGTGGGGGTGTACCCGGAAATAAAATTACCCAATGCCTTTGTATGGCGTCTTCTTTCCTCTAGAAAACCTCTTTACAGGATGGTCCAGAAGTGGATCTTGGTCCAACGCTGTGTTCCAGATGCTGCTCTCTCTCTCGGCTCTCTTTCCTCCCCTCTTTTCTCTCCCTCCTCCTCTCTGCTTCTCTCCCTCCCCTCTCCTCTATCCGTCACCATCTCTCGGTTCTCTTTCCTCCCCTATTTCTCCTCTCTCACTCCCTCCCTCTCCCCCTTGCCTCTCCTCTCTCCCTCTCTCTCTTCTCCTCTCCCCCTCTTTCTCCCTCCCATCTCCCCCCCCTCTCTCTGCCTCCCTCTCTCCCCTTTCCTCTCCTCTCTCCCCTCTCCCTCTCTTGCCTCTCCCCCTCCTCTCCTCTCCTCTCTCCCCCCTCTCCCTCTCTTGCCTCTCTCCCTCCCCTCTCCCTTTACAGCTCTCGCCTCTCTCCCTCTTCTCCTCTCCTCTCTCCCCCCTCTCCGCTCGCCCTCTCGCCTCTCTCTCCCCTCTCCCCCTCTCCCCTCTCCCTCACTTGTCTCTCTCTCCCCTCTCCCTCACTCGCCTCTCTTTCCTCTCTCCCTCTCGCCTCTCTCTCCCTCTCCCTCACTCGCCTCTCTTTCCTCTCTCCCTCTCGCCTCTCTCTCCCCTCTCCCTCACTCGTCTCTCTTTCCTCTCTCCCTCTCGCCTCTCTCTCCCCTCTCCCTCACTCGCCTCTCTTTCCTCTCTCCCTCTCGCCTCTCTTTCCTCTCTCCTCCCCCTCTCGCCTCTCTTTCCTCTCTCCCTCTCGCCTCTCTCTCCCCTCTCCCTCTCGCCTCTCTCTCACCTCTCCCTCACTCGTCTCTCTCTCCCCTCTCGCCTCTCTCTCCCCTCTCCCTCACTCGTCTCTCTCTCCCCTCTCCCTCTCGCCTCTCTCTCCCCTCTCCCTCACTCGTCTCTCTCTCCCCTCTCCCTCTCGCCTCTCTCTCCCCTCTCCCTCACTCGTCTCTCTCTCCTCTCTCCCTCCCCTCCCCTCTCCCTCCGTCTCATCTCCCCCATACCCTCTCCTCTCCCCTCCCCCTCTCGCCTCTCTTTCCTCTCTCCCTCTCGCCTCTCTCTCTCCCCTCTCCCTCACTCGTCTCTCTCTCCCCTCTCCCTCACTCGTCTCTCTCTCCCCTCTCCCTCTCGCCTCTCTCTCCCCTCTCCATCACTCGTCTCTCTCTCCCCTCTCGCCTCTCTCTCCCCTCTCCCTCACTCGCCTCTCTTTCCTCTCTCCCTCTCGCCTCTCTTTCCTCTCTCCTCCCCCTCTCGTCTCTCTCTCCCCTCTCCCTCTTGCCTCTCTCTCCCCTCTCCCTCTCGCCTCTCTCTCCCCTCTCCCTCTCGCCTCTCTCTCCCCTCTCCCTCTCGCCTCTCTCTCCCCTCTCCCTCACTCGTCTCTCTCTCCTCTCTCCCTCCCCTTCCCTCTCCCCCTCTCGCCTCTCTTTCCTCTCTCGCCTCTCCCCCTCTCGCCTCTCTCCCCTTGGTTTCTCATGTATGATAAAACACAGCGCTGCATGTGGAGCAGGGACCTCCAGGCGGTTTCACTGGAGGATTTTCATTCATCTTTTCTCCTCCTCCTCCTCCTCCTCCCCCGCTTCCTCCTCCTCCTCCTCCTCCCCCTCTTCCTCCTCCTCCTCCTCCTCCTCCCCCTCTTCCTCCTCCTCCTCTTCCTCCCTCTCGCTCGCAGTCTGTGTGCCCAGGCATGTGGAGCCGGGATTACAGTGAGGGAAAGTGGACCGGCTCATGTGGAACACGCTTCATTCTACTGTGTTACTTTTTAACATTTAGAGAACAAACATTATTAGGCCAGATGTGTTTTTAGGCCTGAAAATGATCATGAGAAAACTGGGAATGCTTTGAACATAAATGAACAAAGCTTTTATACGGACTCAGGGTCAAACCTAGAAACCAAAAAGACAGAACATACAAGTTGATACATACGTGGACTTATTATTTGTGTAGGAGAATATCTGTGTGATGCTACAAAGACACGTAGACAATCTCGCTCACTGTCGTACTTACATAACCGGCCATCAGGAAAGAATCACAATTGTATTTTTTATTGTCGTTGTCAGTAAGATAAGATAAACTTTATTGACCTCACGATGGAGAAATGTACACGTCACATTTGACTCAGGGTGTGCAAAAAGACAGGATCTGTGCAAATATGTTTTGTGCCAGATGTAATACTGTATGTACAATGCAAATTCAAAGTCAGTATAGCAGTGCGGGTTGGTTCAGTCCTTTAGCATCCGTGGTCAGGAAGTCACAAACTAGCATAATGTCCTTATGCCGCGTTCAGACCGCATCATGCTTTATGTCGGGTTTCAATGCAAAGTCTATGGGTACGCGCGTTGCAGCGTCAAAACGCACCGACCGCTCGGCACGCATGCACGGACCGCTCAGTAGAGACGCACGGACTTGGCGGGAAAGGTAAAATGGAAAATGGACGCCTAGAGGAGATAAACTTTGCTCAACTTTTCCTCGGGACGTTTGTGCAGCGGCCAATCAGAGAGCTGCAAAGTGGTCACGGGGACATTGGTGGTCTGAGCGAGCAGACTGAACATACTGTAAACAGCCAAAACAGGAGCTACACCAGGACTAAACCAGGACTAAACCAGGGTTGACAATGGGGGACTGTGTGCTTATAAATACAGTATATGAGTTGTCATGCTCCCGTGGCCTTAAGCCTAGCGTACATCGACAGAGAAACTGGGGACAACTAGTTGCAAGGCGGCTTTTGGCAACTGAGAGGAGATGGTGGGAGATGATCAGTTGCCGAAATCGGTCGATGTGCGCGCTCTTACAACTGGAGATGATCAGTCGGTCTCCAGTTCCAGTCAGTTGCCCGTGTTCTACTTTTCGGCAACTAGTTGTCCTCAGTTGCCCCGATGTGCGCGCTCCATGCGCCGCTCCGACAACGTGTGTGTATTGCGTGTATTGCGAGCCTGCAACAGTTTATGTCAGAAAACACACTGTGGTTGAGGCCAGTTGCTGTCGATGTACGCGCTGTTATTCAAGAGACTGGCCTGCGACTCAGAGTTGCCCGTTTTCGCCAGATTGTCGATGTGTGCGGGGCAGCAACTCAGAGGCGACGGATATAATCAGTTGCCAGTCCGATGTACGCTAGGCTTTATGCAACTGCTTCGAGTGTGTTCGCCGATGCGGAAACATGTTCAATAATACAAAAAAACGTATGCCGCACCTCCGTGAACACATACTGCTGTTGTATAAAGCCCGTGGAAAGTCTCTGTTCAAAGACACGCTGCAAAGCTGCATATTGGAGAAGATCTGTACACAAGAAGCCGCTAGCATAGCTCTGTTAGCATCAGAGCCGGCCGGCTACTTCCGGTACATCCGGCTCGCGTCAGGACGTTCTGTTGTGAAGACCTCTGCGCCTGAACACTAGAGAATGCGTCTGGTGAGAGGGGCTTCAGCGTTTGAGCGTTTGCGGTCTGAATGCACCAGTAGACTCTCACCTCTCAGCAAGAAGGTCCTGGGTTTGAATCCTGGTCGGAACAGGGTCTCTTTGAGGGTAAACAGTTCTCCCCGTGTGTGTGTGTAGATTTCCTCCAAGTGCTCCAGTTTCCCTTACCACTTTTAAACTTGGGAATTAGTAATTGGTCAAATCTTCCAGATAGGTCCCCCAATGCTGTTACTATGGCGACCACTGCTCCTGATGGAAGCCTTAGTGGCATCAGGATGGGTCAAATTCAGAGGAGAAATTTCAGACATAGTGCACACTTACATTTACATTTAGAAGGAACAAACCAAGTGAGAAACCTCTGTCAGGTCCATTTTGAGAAACGGACTCAGACTGTAGAACGAGGACTGAGGCTGTGCAGAAAAAGGCTAAAATGGTAATGATTTTTGTTTTGTTGTTAAAGCACTAATGTCCAGTGTTTAGTACCATCCTGTATTTCACTTCTGAAGTGTGTGTGTGTGTATTGTTGAGCTGAAAACATGGCCCCCATTGTCCCGGTGCACCAGATTACACCAAGTTCAATTGAGTCTGTAATCTGATTTTGCGTGGAGGCGGTAGATTGTGGATTAAACTTGTAACGACAACATAAACAGAGGATCAACAAACAGGCTCCGGGAACAAATGTGGAGAGACACTTTGGACTGGACTCAATCTTCTTTACACGACCCACACAAAAACACATTAAAATGGAGGATAACCCAGGTCTAAACATGTCAATCATGTACAGTCCAGACCAAAAGTTTGGACACACTTTCTCATTCAGTGAGTGTCCTTTCTTTTCATGACAATTGACTGTAGATTCACACCAGGCTGTGTAAGGGCTGTTTGACCTCCACAGTCACCAGACCTGAACCCAAAGATGGTTTTGGACCTGAACCCAATCCACATAGTTTTGGACCTGAACCCAGTCCAGATAGTTTTGGACCTGAACCCAGTCCAGATAGTTTTGGGGCTGGACCACAGAGTGAAGGCGAAAGGGCCAACAAGTGCTAAGCATCATGGGAACTCAGACCATTTCAGGTCCTCTTGAAGCTCATCCAGAGAATGCCAAGAGTGAAGCAGTATCAGAGCAAAAGGTGCTACTTTGAAGAACCAGAATATAACACATGTTTTCAGTTGTTTCAACGTTTTTTTTTTTTTGTACGTACATAATTACACATGAGTTATTTCAGTGTGAATCTACAATTTTCAGAATCATGAAAACAAAAAACTCTTTGAATTAGATGGTGTGTCCAAACTTTTGGTCTGTTCTGTACATTAGATTAGAACAAGACCAGAGTTCTTCTTGTCCATCGGATAATATGGTTTGAAGACATCTGAGAGACTTTGAATTCAGGGCATTTCCTAGATATTTACGCACAAAAAAGTGTGACGAATGCTGTTTATTCCAAATTGATCTCCCTTTTTCTCTCTTTTTTTGTCGTTCCTTGAGGATGCAGAAGGATCTAAGGACAATTCTGGACATTTTATCAACATCCATGGACATTGGTCATCTCACTCCCGAAGCACCTACGACTTCTATGTGTTTTTTTGTAGTTGATTTGTTTGATTATCTGATCTGTTGTTGGCGAATCGACAACTTTGTGAAGTCCTCCGAGAAGACTTCTGTTGTGATTACTTGAAATGAATTGAATGTTTGAGCAACTTTTGCTATTTTTCCGACTCTTATTACTTTTATTATATGCGTTTGCATTCGAGCCCTTCGCGACAACTTCTGTTTGTGTGTTAAAGCTAGGGTACCTGACTTTACGTCTTATACTTTATGCACATTATAACTGTGACATTAGTGATTGAACCAAACTGTTTAACTAGATAGTGTATTAATAACTATGTCAAGATTCAAGAATTTATTTTTCCTTTGCAATAAAACCACAATAAAACCCTAACCCTCCCCGCTGCTCCCCATTTGTACTTTTGGACATGGGCAGTAGCCGAGATCAAACGTAAACAACAATGGCGGCGGGTAGCTAACTAGCTACATGTGCTTCGAGCGCTACACAGAGGAGGATTCTACTCCTTCGTTCGTCCAAACAAAACAACGCAAAGCTCTAGTTTCAGTTTCCATTTTCACAGCTGCTGTTAAAGAATGATATTGGTGCATTCTTTCACGTCTTGCAGAGGAAGTGAATATACTGCTGGAGCTGGGGCTTGCGTGTGTCGTGTTGTAAAGTTCTTCTGCCCTCTACATCGCGCTAGAACTACATCGTGTTTGATCCTCGTATGAACACTGTGAAATTTGCACTAGAAGCCTGGTCGTTTCTGTTCATAGTATCGTCTGTGCAGCAACTCCGTATAAAAGCGGCCTTAGCTAATGTGCTAAAATCAAGACAAATTACAAAGTTAAGTTCTGCAGCTCCTCAAAGTTGCATTAGATGGTCAGATTTTCAGTGTGAGGTTTTTCCTTTTTCATTCTGTTTCATTCTGTATATGTGTCACATGTGAGCAATCTGAGATCCAATAGTAGAAAACTATGAAAACAAACAGTATTCACTTCAGATCCTTATTGAGCGCCTCTTTCACCGGAGCTAAAATAAAAATCAAAAAACGTCTTTCTACCCATAGCACACACAGCCACATATGGAGAATCCTGTTTTTTGAATTGGTTTCTGGCCCTCCACCTGCTGCTGCTACTGCTGCTGCTGCTACTGCTGCTGCTGCTGCTGCTGCTGCTGCTACTGCTGCTACTGCTGCTGCTGCTGCTGCTGCTACTGCTGCTGCTGCTACTGCTGCTGCTGCTCATGAGGAGACGCATAGAAAGCTGGAGTCGGGAGCCGTGAGCCAGACGCCGATGGTTTATCAATCCCAGAGCAGCAGGCCCACCGCACAGTCCTGGCTCCTCTGTATTTAAGACGTGCTGCTGAGGTATACGGCCCGATGCCTGCAGCAAAACGGGAAAAGACTTGTTATTGGTGTCTGTACAAGCAGAGAGAGAGAGAGAGCGCTAACAAGGAACAGGCTACAATACCTGAATGTAATGTTGGCTTGTTCAATGTTTATGTTCACGCTATTCGCCTGAGGGACTTTTGGCCAAAAGGAGATTTCCGTTTCTTATCATTTTTTTTATATTATGAAGGTATTTTGACACAACTCACAGTATGTGAGTCTCACTATTATTTTCTGGTTGACTTTTTTAGATTGAACCAAAATTGGACCATATATACAGTTGTTTTACATTTAACTTTTTAATTCCTAATAATAACAATGCTGCAAGTTAATGATAATGTTAAAAATTATTCTATGG